AAATCGTCAAATAAATTTCAAAATAGTCATGTCTTTTATACAAATTATCAATATTATTTAAAAATAATTCTACTGATTGAAAAATTGGCCTTTTGAAATTATTAGCATAGACTAAACTAAAATCAGCATACTAACTGAAACATCAGAGTTTTTAAATCATCAAATAAATTTTAAAATAAGCATGTTCTTTATGCAAATTATTAACATCATTTAAAAATAATTTCATCAATTGAAAAATTGATCTTTTGTAATTATTAGTATAAATTAAACTAAAATCAACATGAAAAATCAGTATACTGACTGAAATATTAAAATTTTTCAATTTATCAGTATGATTATATTTAAATTAGCATATTTATATTAATATCAGTAATGATTATTTAAAAATTAGAATATTTATATTGTTATTGACTATACTTTATTAAAAATCATTAAAATCTGATTTTTTTTCATTTGACTTATAAATTAGAAAAAATCAATTTTACTTATATATATCAAATATGATTTTTAATTAAAATATGTTCAGATTTAGCATTAATTCAATTTTTATTTTTTTTGGCTATTTTTCTCTTTTCTATTGCAAAAGTTCTATATTATTAATACTACTAATAATGCTAAACTAAATTAAAGTAATATTATCTAATATCTAATAAACATATTTATATAATTTTAAAAGTATATATAAGTTTATTTAAATTATTTTTATTATATATTAATATTAAATTTTATTATATTTATTAAATAGTTATAAACCTAAGATTTAAGTTAAATTATTATATAAATAATTAATTTGAATCTGAATATATACAAATATATAAATAACAAATTATAATTTATAAAATGATCAAAATTCAAATGAAATAATAATCAATCTATTAATTCAAATTCAAATATATTAATAGCACTATAATACAAAAGATTTGCAAAATTAAGAGATCATGTAATACAACAAAAATGATTTGCAAGAAGTTGGTATAATACAGTAAATCAATAAAATTAGCTAAGTAATGAGGATTGGTAATTTTAATTTAGTTAGTAATAACTGTGAGTTACACTGTAATAGCTACAGGTTTAGGTCTCAGCTGAGATATAAAACTAGATGATTTTCTTAAAAATTTTATAAATAATTAAATATGTGAACATACAGTCAACTCTTGTTATAACAAACTCTATGTCCTAGACTTCAACTTTGCTATAAGGTTATAGTGAAGATTTTAAAAGATTTGATTAGTCAATTCACTATAACAAGAGTATTTTTATTATATTTGTTCAAAAAATTCATTATATCAAAAATTCGCTATATTAAAAGTTAACTGTATATACTAATATGCATTTGTAATTGGTTGATCGATCTATCGATTAATATTGATTATACTTAAATACTAGATTTGAAGAATATGTAAATATAAATAAAGCTAGGGATTAATAGAAACTTAGTTTTTCTGATAGGTCTATAATAGATATTATCTTATGTTTTCAAATTTAAGGACCCTTATACAAGTAAGAAAGTGGTTAACCAATAATTAGTAGATTAGGTACTATCTTCAGATGACTATAGTGATAATAAACTGCATTATATAGCTGCATCATCATCTAATCAAACTATTATTTGAGATAGAGGTTAAGTTCAATTTCTAGATGATTTTAATGATATAGGTACGATAACTATCTACCTTTCTGAGATTCTATAAGAATGATAATATTTAAATCTTCTCGATCATGTTTAATATATTTTAATACTAAACAAAGATAATACTGATTTTGATTGGTATTAGTAAATATAAAGGAAAAGTAACGTAAGTACCTATGGCTGAAAATGATTCTTCTATCCAAATTTAACAGTAGTTTTGAGATCTAGAAGCTCTGAGAGTTTGCTCTTAAGGGTATTATCTAGAGACAAATATTGAACTAATATTAAAGTAGATAGATTTTAATTAAAACTTGTGTTTAATTATAACCTTATAGGTTTTAATGATTAGCATTGAGCTACTTGTAATCCTAGACATACTACTAAGATTTTAGTATTTTAAGTACTAAAACTATAAAAAAAATTGGCAGAGTAATAATTAACTTAAATGTTACAAAAAATTCTAAGATAAAATAATTAATAAAAACAAATGAAATCATTAACCATAATGATATATAATACAAGCTTAAAATAGGTATACCAAAAGAAAGCTTTAAGGAAAAAGAACTAAGGAAGGAAATATAGTAATAATAGAGTAATAATTGAAATATTTTTATAAAATTATATAATCATTAATTATTGGGTTATTATAAAATAATTAGGTAATCATTACTTTAACATAACATGAATATTAATCATTGATGAAAGAATCATTACATAGTTATTCTATAATAAGATAGGAGTTAGTGTAGTAATTTTATTATAAATAACTATTGAAATTTATTATATAAAAGCAACTTTTTAAAATTAAAGTTTAAGAATATAAACTTGCAATTCTTGAGGAGTTATCCCTTATTTATTTTCAATAAAACAATTTTTAAATAAATAAATCCCTTTGAAATACAACTTTTTAAGAAGTAAATTTATAAGATATAAATTGTATTTCTTAAGAAATCACCTTTTATTTGTTATCAATAAAAGTAACTTGAAATAAATAAACCTTCAAAGTTAAGAATTTGTTATTAAAATATATCTTTGATTGTATTTACTTTATTTGTTAACAAATGTTCTTATGTAAATAAACTCCTGAAGTTATAAATTTTAACAAAATAAAGGATTAATTCCCTTTATTAGTATTATCATTTAATCATCATACTAGCATAATATCTTTGATTAATTTGAAATATTCTAAGAAGTTTTAGAAATTAAGTCAGTTAATTTTTCATACTTTCTGACTTAAAAATCTGAATTATGAAGAAACACTATGATGAGATTTGAAGAAGAGTATGTGACACCCTTTTTTACTTTTTGATTTAATAATTTAAGTAAAGACTCTTCCAAACGAACTTGAGTTTGAACTAAACTTAACTGTTATTTAATCAATTAAATATTTTAATCTACTTAACTGACAGTTGGATAACAGTATATATATTTAAAAAAAGAAACTATTTAAAAGTGATAAATTAAATATATATTGAAACAATACATCAATTTTTAATGCTAATGTTTTAATATTTTGAAAGGTAAAATTTAAAGTTATATAATATTATTATTTACTTATATAATGAATCAATTTAATTTTTAATTTAATTAATTTAATTTATAGTCACATAAAGTAGAATTTTCAAATTTATTAAGAATAACTAGAGATTATTAATAATTCTTAATATATAATTATAAATTAATACTTAATATAAAAATTATTTTAAATTTAATATCTTATTATAATAAATAGATATAAGTATTTCAATTAAAAGAATATTTTTTGATAATAAAAATTTAATTTTACAATGCAACTTGAAATCAAAAACTATTAGAATTTATATATATTTAAAAAGTTAATAGAAAAAAATGATGAGAAATAATACATAATTTTATTAATTTTATTTTTATCTTACAAAGCTTATTTGTTTTTATAAATATTAAATGATATATATATTTTTAATTTTAAATTATCATAATAAAAAATTTTATAGAGAATAAGTAATTAAAGAAAATAAATTCTAAAAGAATTGTAAAAAAAAAGATAGTAAAACTTTGAGAATCAAAAAATTGCAAAATATTTAAAGAATACAAATTATTTGTAAAAGAATCACAATACACTTATTTAACTTTAAGGGAATTATAAAGTAATTGCAAAACTCTTAAAAGAATTATAAATTACTTGCAAACTCTAAAGAAATGGTAAAGTAATTGCAAAACTTTTAAGAGAATCACAAATTATTGTAAACTTTCATATACAAATTGTAAAAATCATTGAGATTCATAATAAAATTGCAGATTCTTACAAATTTTCTTTAAAATTCAAATATAATTAAACTGAACTTTCAGATTAATCTGAAATTTTTAGTTCAATTCAAATTTTTTCAGTTTATAATTCAATTCAAATTTGAAATAGCATTTTTAAATTAATAATTAGAACTGAAATTTTCAATTCAGTTTTAGATTAGCCTATAATATGAATTAAACTGTTTGGTTTGTAACATTACTATTTACCATTTTTTTTTTTTTTTGTTATTTTATTATTAAAAAGTTATTTGTATATTTATATTTTTCTTAATCATTAAAAAAAATCAAAATTTATATTTATACTTATTTTAAATATTATCTTTTAAAATCAATAATTAAGAAAAATAAGGTAAAACAAATATTAAATTTCAATATTTTTTATAAAAGTTAAAATATTTGAATTATATGAAGATATATAAGTTTAAATCTAATTAGCAAAAAATTAGATATAGTATAAGTATCAATTTTTACTTTACCATAAATATATATATTATAAAATTATTTGTTTGAGATATTTAAAATATATTAATAATAAAAAGAATATATGTCATTAAATAGATAGGCGTTTTTTTTTATAATTTATTATAAATGTATTGTTTTTCTTTTGTAATTATTATAAATATTATTGAAATTACATAACGATTCAGCAATATTTATAATGATATTTTCCGAGCATAAACAAAAACGTTATGAACCAAATTTATATTTGCGAGATGTTTGCATCTTTTTACTCCTCGGATCGATCACTCCTTTTAATAGGGATGTTTTTATGCCCAAGATTAATATAGATTAGGTGGAAAGAACTAGCCAGTGTTGGCAAATGATCTTGAAATGACAACAATCTTTTATTTCATTCATGCTAGTTGATAGTGATTATCATCATCAAAAAAGTTTAATGTTTCGAAATAGTGTGATTTAATTTATTAAACAATTTGCACTTCATAAAAAAAAGTTGATAGTCTAGTCCACTAATAATGCTGGTCGTGATTTATTTTAACTATATAAAACAATTTTGTATTTAATAAAAAAAAGTTTATAGTCTAGTCCACGAATAATGCGGGTCGTGAATAATTACAATTAATACTTAATATTCTAACGTAGCGGTAGTACTAGCGGTCGATTGGGAATATTGATATGGATATTGGTAATTTGCCTGAAAAATATTTTGCAATATTATTTATCATTTCTAAATGGATAACAAATACAAAAAAAAGTTATTATCTACCTGCTGAGCATTAGCGGAGGACGCGGCGCTTACGGCAGGGTAACCTGCATATCCTTGCGCACTCCATTGACCTTGTGGGTAGTAAGGTGGTTGTGCTGCATATGATGCAGCAGGAGTTACTACTGGTGATACTGCACCTGTCGCCGTAGGATCAACAATTCCATCAATACGCAACTGCTTAGAGGGTTTATCTTCTGCTTCTTCCGCACTGCGTTTTTTTGAGTCAGCTATAGCCCGAATAGTAATAGGACCATGTGTCTCTGCATCAATTTTATTATACAAGGAAATTGTAGAACCACGTTCCATAAGAAAATCGATATAACTATTTTGAATATCTCGTATCGTTTCGGATGTCAAGGTAGTAGTATTGCGAATCATATCGATCACATTTTTCACACGCGTTTCAACCTCGGAATCTATATAAAAATAGACAATTATAAATCAAGTCGTTTATTAAAATACTCCGAGAATTGATAAATAATTACCGTTTTGAGATAACTCAAATTTGAACCAATTCCACCAAAAATATTTGCTATCTAAACATTTCGTCGCGTCTTGCTGGAAGATTTGGCGTGCATCTTCCACTGATTTTTTGTGCTATGAAGAAAGAAAAGAATTATACCAATATTCAGTTGTTATATAACATTACGGATAAAACTAACTTACATGCCATATCATTTTTGCATATTGTACTATGATATAAGGCTTTGATTTTTCGTCTAACGTGTCACTTTCAAGAGCTGATGTTAGAATATTTATGGCTTTAGGTAAATCATCGGGGTTTCGACGACGTTCAAAGTGCGTATATTTCATTATCGTTTCGACATGTCCAGGTGCTAATGAAGAAGTGATTAAATATTATTAAAAATAAATGATTAAATAAATATGGTAAGAAATATGATTAATTTCGTACATGACTCCATTATCGATTTATATAAGTCTCTAACTTCCTCAATATTGCCTTGTTGTTCTTCAAGACAAGCATATGACAAACGAATACTCGGGCGACTAATCAATAAATATGTAATTATATTAACAAAATAATAAACTGTATTTAAAGAAATATAATTATTAATATAAGAAATAATTACCTAATGGGTATAAAGACAGAAGTGGCTCGAATATATATACTACGTGCATCACTGTATCTATTTTTGGTAATCATCCAACGTGCATACCTTTGCCAAAACTCTTCATATAATGCCTAAGGATGAGAATTGTATGGTTAAAGGTTCAAAATAGTAAATATTTTGTGGTAGATAATGATATATAGACTTACGCAAGCAACTAAACATCGTTCATATAACACTTGAATTCTGGTATCATCACCCTCACTTTCTTCAAAGTCAAGGTACCTTCTCCAATTAGTTAACTGAGGAACATCCATTTCCTTTACATGAAAGTAAGGTCTTTTAATCTAAACAAAAAAAATAAAAAGCTCAATATCTTTACAAAAATTATGAGATCTTAATACAATAAAATCTTCATATACTACCTCTTGTTCAAATACCCAACGTTTGTTAACTTCAATATGTGTTCTGGTATAATTATCCACACAAAGATTATAAACACGTGTTCGAATATCATTTTGAATTTGATCTTCTGTCTGGATAAACGTAAAAATCAAAGATTATACAAATATTATATTTGATAATTAAAGTAGCTGGATTGTATTAAAGATTTTATAAATGAGATTCACCTTTTCTGTAGGTGGTGATTGTTGCTCGCCTTCTGTTTCTTCAGTTGGGGGTAGAGGAGCTGCCTTTACTTCTTCTTCATATTCTTTATATTGTTCAGGGGACAATAATTCAGTGATTGGTCGTGTGCTGAGCAAATTATTAAAACTAATCGAATAAAAGAAAGAATGATGAGTGAAGTGTCGTAAAAAAGAAAAAATTTAATTTTAAAATATTTTTTTGGACATTACTCTTCAAAAAATCTAGTATACTGGTGAATAGGAATACGAATGATCCTATCTAGTATTTTCATAACGCGAACATAATCTTGCATTGATTTCTCAAATTCAATATATTTATCCCAAAATAAATGGGAAAGGAAATCAAGTCCTACGTAAGCAGCACCACGTTCGAATAAACTATTAAATAGACGAATGAAGATATCTTTAGTTGTTGATACCTTGCAAAAATATATAATAAAGGAAAACAGAGAAAATAAAAAAAAAATCAAGTGACTAAAACTCAAGCTATAACTTAGATTACAATTAGCCTAGTTCCTTGTAAAATTTATGATTAAGGGTGCTTAAATGGAATTAAATTCTCCCGTCAGATGGCTTGGTCATCACCCGGCAAATTCTAATACCCTTGCGATTCCTTCATTCATATTATTGCTGAAACTCAACAAAATAAAAAATATTTGATAACGAATAGAAACAAAACATCATAAAAAAAACAAGAATAACTTCAAATAACCAAATTCACTTCGTGTACTTTTACTGCCATCCTGACTGGATTGTAGCTGAGATATCTCTGGCTTACTTAAAACATAAGTAATATATAACAAAAACCAATAAAGGATGCAAAAAATAAACAATAAACAAAAACTATTGAATTATCAGTATAAACATGAACCTACCCTCTTATAGCCTCTAAATCATCAGGATAATGCTCGATTCTAAATGCACAATATTGTGTCCAAAGGTCAACTGAATTTGCTATAGCAGCGACACCACGTTCATAAATCTTATTTAAATTTTTATTATAAATTATTTTGTCATTAAAAATTAAAATATATATCAAGAGAATAGTAATAAAATTAACCTTTTCAGCCTCAGTTGGACCCTGTATGGTGAATTCAAAATCTGCATATTTCTTCCAATAGCCAAAACATAAAGGAAATTTGGCCAAGAATTGATCAAATACTTCACGCATATTAGTTATATTCTCTGCCGGCGATTTTGGTGTTAAACCATCATCTGCACTTTCGGCAATCCTAATTAAATATTCCCATGATACAAAGTCCTAAAATATAAATGAGAATTAACCAACCGATAAATGCTATCTACCATTGTAATAATATAATTACATCTGGATTAGCCTTGACGATTTCCCAATAGCGTTCTAATTCTGATTTCTGAGAAGTTGGTTCCGTTGTGTCTTCAGCTGCAGTTTCTACGCCATTAGTTTGGGCTAAGAGGAAAATAATAGATCAAATATTAGTCATTAATCTTACAATAATCATATTATATTACATCGTTCAAATCTTTAAGCTCAATTTGAAGTATTGTGGAGGTAAATACTCTAAGCATCTATAGTGGACTTCAACCTGTCGCAATGTGCTCTGATTTTATCCTATAACTAACTGTCCCACCATAGTTGGGAAATCATACCAAGAGCTGAATCAGTAGCGTATTGTGCATATTGTGCTGCAGCTGCTGGATCGTCGTAAAGTGGCATTTTTCTTTTGAATCAGTTTAAAAAGTAAAGATCTAACTTTATGTCGGAAATTTATAAAGTTAATGACGAATATGACGTAATGAGTTTATCAAGTTATTATTCGTGATTGATCATCCTTTTACTAGGATATTATATATAAAAAAATCGTTAATTTCTAGGAAAATCAGGTTCCGAAAAATTTCCGGAATATGATCTTCCTAGCTTAAATTATTAAATTTTAATTTAGATTATTTGTTTATCAAATAATTCAATTATTTTATTTAATGAAAATTTCTTTTCATTTTACTAAATACTTTACTTACCTTAATATGTTATATATTAGAATAAGAATTAGAAGTTGAATTAACAAAAAGACTTTTTTTGATTAATTAATATTTATCAAAAAATATCTGAAATAGTAAAATTATTAATATATAATTTAAGTATTTTATTATTAAATTTATATATATTATTTTATAATATCTAGTTATCTTTCTTATAATAAAATAAATATAAAGAATAATTATAAAAAATATACTTATAAAAAAGTATTTATTATATATTTATTTATAAAAAAAAATTAAAAAATATATTATGAACACTTTATAGTAAAAAGAAAGAGAAATTATCTAAAACAATTTTTATTTTATAAACTAAATATAATTCTTTTTTGTTCAGATTTAAATTAATAATAAAATATTTTTATTAAATATGTCATGATAATTATATATAATTATGTAAAAACATAATTTATAAATATGGTAATTAATTACACATTTTTTTAAAAATGATAATTACATAATTAATTATAGAATGGTAATTAATTATAAGATAATAATTAATTGCAGGATGGTAATTTATTATAGATAGCAATTATTTATTTTAGACGTAATTAATTACAGAATGGTAATTAATTACAAGATGGTAATTTATTATAGGATAATAATTATTCATTATGATATAATTAATTACAGAATGGTAATAAATTAGCAAATTTTATTTAAAAAGTAAGTTTAAAATATTTATAATCACTTAAATAGAATATCCACTAATTTTAAAGAAATTATTACAACAAAGTAAAAATCCAATTTCACCTTTAATTTAAGTATATGGAACCTTTGCAATAAAAAAAAGGAGAAATAGCTAGAAAAAATAAAAAATGAATTAATGCTAAATCTGAATATATTTTGACCTAAAAATCATATTTTCTTATAAAAGTAAAATTAATTTTTTTTAATTATTTTCTTTCTTTCTATTGTAAAGATCTTATATAATTAATATTTTTACTAATTTCCATTTTGAATAATAATGATAACTTAGAATATGAATTATTTATGTAACTATGATCTATTTCAAATTAGATAATCTAAAGATTCTAGATCAGTCTAAAAGGTAAGCTAATGTTAATAATTATTTTTTTTTAAAAAATTAAAAATAATTTTTAATTAAAAAATTTTTACAATAGTATTTATCTTTCTAATTCAAGAATTCTACTATTTAAAGGTTTTAGATTAGTCTATAAGGTAAAATAATATTAATATATATTTTTTTTAAAATTAATATAATAAAACTTACTTTTAATTTAAGTTTAAAGATTTCAAAACCTATAAAAAAATAAGCGTATTCGTTAGTTTGCTTTTCTAATTTTTTAAAAAATATCTCAATACTCTTTATTTTTATAGAATTTACCTTTAAGCTATAGATGCCTACCGAAACTTCCTCAAAATAATTTCGTTATACCTTTTTCTATATTTTTAATATAGTTTTGACAGTTTCAGCTTTTATTATATTGAATAGATTTCATTGTATCTCTTATTATAATTTTAATATAGTTTTGTCTAAGTTTCAACTGTTATTAAGGGATTTCGTCTCTCATCTATATTCTGAGCTAAAACTTAAAGAATTCTAAAACCTACAAAAAATAAGCATTAGTTAATTTATTTTTATTTTTTTAAAAAAAAAATCTGCATTCTTCTCTCTTTCATAAAAATTTAGCTTTAATTCTAAAGCCTGAAGAGCTTCAGAACTTATAAAAAGGTAAGTATTAGTTAATTTTTTTCTTTATTATTTTTTTTAAAAAAAATATCTTACATTCTCTCTTCTATCATAGGATCTTCCTATAAAAAATTTGCATACATTTTTTCATTATTATAAATAAGTTTTGTATACGTTTTTTGAAATTTTGTAACACATTTTCTTATATTTTATAAGGAATTTTTTTTAGCATTTTTTTTATAAAAAATGATGTATAAGAAATTGTTAATTAATAATATATAAAAATAATAAAAAAAAATTATATTTTATTACATTGAAAATTATAAGGTTTTTACAATAAAATTATACATTTTTTAAAAATTAATATTTTTTTTATTAATTTATACTGAAAATAAAAGAATTAATAGATTTGTTATAATTTATAAAATTTGTACTATTATTATAAATAGTACTCATATATTACAATGAAAAAAATTTTTGTCCTGCTAATATTTGATATAAATTGGATCTTTTACTCAAAATAAATGTAAAACTTATGCATTACAATAAAAAAATTTAAATTTTTTGCTGATATTTAATATAAATATAAAATACAATAGGAATATTTTTAATGTAAAGTATTAGATAAGATTTGTAAAATTATATAAATTTTACAAAATAAGATTATTAATTTTATGTTTAATATACAGTCACACCTCGATATAACGAAGTTGCTGATTTAGCTAATTAGAACTTTGTTATAAGAATCTTCATTAATGCTATAACAAATAATTTTTTATATAATTTTACTATGATATAATTTTTCCAGAAATATTTTCACATTATTTTATAAATTCTAGTCATTTTATTTTAACATGTAATCTGTTAATCATTGTCCAACAGTTTTATTAATTTACTTAAATTTTTTTAAAAAAAATAAAAATAAAATAAAAAATAAAATAAAATAAAATAAAAAAAAAAGAAAAATAAAATAACAAGAAAACTAAACGAGACGAAAAACAAAATTAAAAAATTGAAATGAACTATAAAATGAAATTAAGTGAACAAAATGAGACAAAAAAATGAAATTAAATAAATGAAAAGAAACTATAAAATAAAATTAAGAAAATAAAACAAAACAAAAAAATGAAATGAAACAGAAAATAAAATTAAATGAAAAAACAAAAAAGAAAAAACAAAATTAAACATACAATATAAAAAGAACAAATGAATGATACGAAAAAATGAAATTAAATGAACAATAAGAAAAAAAACTGAAATCTTTATTACTTTGCAAGCCTTGTAGACATATCGTAATTTTGCTGTCTATTTTGGTTTTACCTTGCAAACTCATCACAGTTTTGCCTTATATTTCATATTTGCCTCATAGTAGGTAATTACAATTTTTCTTACAAATGTGTCTTAATTCTAAAAAAGTAAATATATTTAATATAAATCTAAAAAATCATTTAAACATTTTTAATTATTACCTGACCTATTCCAGAATCGAGTTCTGAAGAGGTTGTATAATCTTTCCATAGTATAGGTTTATCTTTCACCTCTTTTCGCTCTATTTTGATAATTGCAAAAATCCTAAAAGATATTAATTATAATGTTAAATTAAATTTATCATTATATTGTTATTCATTTATTTACTTGTATTGTAATCTTGTACTAAATTCCTCCATTTTAACTTACATTGGTGAGTTGAATATGTTATATTGAATCTTTAATTAATTCATTAAACTACACTCCTCTAGAACTCTATCTTATTGTTTCTGTATCTTACATGATACTCTTCATTTTTTCTCCTTCTTTTCTCGACTAATAAATCAATTTCATTATCCTTTCAAATGATTCTTGTAGTCATTTTTGTGTTTGTAAAAAAATATGATTTAATAGAGTAAATTAAAGTAATTTAAAGGTTGATTTAAATTTCAAAA